CCTTCCTAGTGGCTGGGGCACTGCACTCCCAGCAGCAGTGTCCGGGGCCAGTCCCTTGGCATCCTCATGACTGGCACTGCCACTGCCTGTTCTTGGCCATCTTTCTTTCTGCATTTGAAAGATTGAAATATATTAATATTGTGTCAGGAAAATCACATATAGGAACAGTTTTTTTAACAGATAGTTGGATTCCTAGGTGTTTCCTAGAGTCTAGGTGGCTCTGGGGATATAAGAAATAGCCGGTCCAGCCACATATTCACCCAGAAACATATTGAAGCGATTGGCGGTGGTTTTTGGCTACTTCCTCCCTTAGGTCCAGTGCATTTAAAGTTTCAGGACTAGGACAATTCCTGTTGTCTCTGGCTTCTCCAACCCATTTACTTCAGACATCTTCTCTTGCTCAAAGCCTCCTTTGAGTTTTTATGTGTTTCCTTTGCATCAGTTTGAGGGTACAGTCTATCACGATGGGGGAAATATGGAGGCAGGAGCTTGGGGCAGCTGGCGACATTGCATGCCCAGTCAGGAAGCAGAGAGATGAATGTTTTCTTGTAGCACTAAAGATTGAGCCCAGGGCCTTGCACTAGGCAAGTGCTGAGCTACAAACCAGCCCTTTAATTTTTTTTTTATTTGAGGGGCCAGCAGGATGGCTTAGTGGATAAAGGTGCTTGCTGCGCAGTCCTGGCAACCTGAGTTCGATCCGTGGAACCGCACACAGGTGCAAGAGAACTGACCATACCACATTGTCCTTTGACCTCCGCACATATGCCCTCCCCCCAAATAAATAAATGACTGCAAAAATAAACTCTCTCTGGTCAACCAGGAGCCACTTGATGTCATTTTCATTTGTATCTCTTTGGTTAGATTATTTGTGAGATTGATTTTTTTTAAATATTTGTTTTAAATATATATGTGTGTGTGTATATATATATATATATATATATATATATGCAAAGAGAGAGGTGTTTGCCTATATGTATGTATGTATGTATGCATTTATGTATATAATCTACATGCACTGTGCACAGAGGCAAGAAGGGGGTGTCACATGTTCTGGAGATGGAGTTACACATGATTGTGAGCTGCCGTGTGGGTGCTGGGAACTGAACTCAGGACCTCTGCAAGAGCAGCCAGTGCTCTTAACCTCTGAGCCATCTCTCCAACCTGAGATCCATCTTTTTGTTTGTTTGTGTTTTTGAGACACGGTCTTTCTATGTAGCCCTGGCTGTCCAGAAACTCATCACACAGCCCAGGCTGGCTTTGACTTCACAGACATCCACCTGCCTCTGCCTCCCAAATGCTGAGATTAAAGGCGTGGGCCCCTGTGCTGCTGCAGCACCACGCCTGGCTGGAAATCCTTTTTTTGTTTTTTGTTTCTAATGAAAAACTAGTCATTGTCTGATGACTAACGAAAAACTAGCATTAAATTTTCCTCCAAATTCAACTTACCTACAGGCTCTACTTGGCTGACGTGGTCAACATAGTCTCTCTTCCCCAGGTAAATAGTCACCTGTGGGAAGAACAAAGGCATTTACGTAGACGCCAACAACCCCAAGCTTTCCAGTAGTGTTTTCCTCTTCCTCGTATTCAGTGCTGAGCATCGAACCCAGGGCCACACACATGCAAGGCAAGCCCTCTACCCTGGAGCCTCAGCCCTTTCCATTAGTCTTCAAAGGAGGGGTCACTTGGCTCCACAGCTGCTCTGTGGCTTCCTTCTCTCCGGGCTGTGGGTGAAGATGGTTCATTTCAAGTACAGGGTACCTTCTTCCAGCCCTGTATCAGCTCCCAGGAACTCCTTCCATGCACGTGGATGGCGGGAATCCTTTCCACTCTGTTCTGTCCTTCCCATCAAGCCCAGGTCTATATCAACCCATACATTCATGGAAGGTTATGCCTATGGACACAGCCAGCTTTCTATTTCTAGCTGTGCCCTGAAAGGCCCTGTCTTCTTGTTCAGAGACTTTCTGGACTAGCCAAAGAAGTAGGAATTCCAGAGGAGCCTGAAATCCCACTGGGTGAGCTCTGCACAGGTAACCGATAACCACTCGCTCAGGAAGGAGGTGGTGGAGCTGAGTTGGTGGGGATACCATCCCTGCTCTTGGTAGCCAGTCTCCTCACCTATTATTCTGTGAAGCTGCTTCCCTGCTGCTCACTGCTCTACCAAAGGACCACAAAGTCCTTGAGGAGAGGATCTAGAACAGTGGTTTTCAACCTTCCTAATGCTATGACCCTTTAATAGAGTTTCTCATGTTGTGGTCACCCCTAACCATAAAATTATTTTTGTTGCTACTTCATAACTGTAATTATGTTGCTGTTATGAATTGGAATGCAAATATGTTTTCCAATGGTCTTAGGCGACCCCTGTGAAAGAGTCGTTAAACTCCCCCCAAAGGGTCGCAACCCACAGGTTGAGAACTGATGATCTAGAGTGTTCTATGCCCCTTTCAGCCTTCTCAGTATTTATTACAGCCTATGATTGTACACAGAGGGATTCAATCAGTGCTTGCTAAGTACACCAATGAGCAAAACCCTGTGCCCTGGCTAGCCCTCTGTTTGTCTAGGCCTCTGAAGAACACATTTTTTATTTCTGCAAACAATCCAAGTGATTTTTGACATTAAATTAACGTCTTATACTCAAATCCTGGGGACAATGTATCATTTGTCCCCAGGGTGGGTCCATTTGCATGGCTCATGGTGGAGGTTGTATCAAGCAAATGCCTCTAGATCCCTATTAACATCGAAGATCCCGTGAGAAACCTTGTAAATCTGTGCATGGTGTTTCTGCAGGTCTCAGCAGCCTGGGAAGGGTGGGATCTGGGTATGGGACGCAGGGACATTGCAAAGTGTGCAGCAGCAGGCGCCAAGCTTCACCCTCTAGATCAGAGTTCCACTCCGAGGCTAGCCCAGCTGGCCCACCCAGTGAACTCCCTGGCCCCCTGTTTTCTATGTAGGATGGACCCAAAAGTAGAGGGAGAGAGAAGCAGGAGCTGGTGTTTCTCACACACACACACACACACACACACACACACACACACACACACACACACACGCCTTTCCTGCCTGGCCCATGGCTGGCACGTTCCTCTAAACATGGTCATAGTTCCCAGAAGGTGGCCTGTTGGCTTCTGGGTTCCGAAACCTGCTGGATACCCCATCCCCTCAGCCCAGGGAAGCCCTGTGCCTAGTGCTACAGGCCCAGTCCAGACCAGAGGGGACTAAGGTTCCCCAGTGGTAGTAGACCTTGAGTTTTACCCAGGGACACAAACTTTCCTCAAATCCAGCCTATCTCTGCTCTTGCAGGCCCCCTAGCATGTGGATACCTCCTAATTCATGGATGTGCCTGCTTCCTCCCTCCTGTGGAATAGCATCCAGTTCCTTGAAAGTGGCCAACAGGAGCCTTACCTCTGGGCTCCAGGCCCCTCTGCCCTCACCTTGGCCTTGGCCATGGCAGCGCTGATGAACCCATCTCTTCCTGCTGCCTGCACAGCAAGGAAGGCCCTTCAGCCTCATCTCTAGCTGAGGAAGCCCCTACCCATGCTTCAAGAGAACAATTGGGCACTACAAGTCTCTTTCAGCTCAGCATACTCTGGCTGCTCCTGCATTACTTTGAGATAGTGTTTCTCATTCTGTAGTACAAGCTGTCCTAGAACACACAGTATAGCCCAGGCTGACTTCAAACCTCCTGCCTCAGCTCTCAAAGTGCTGAAGTTAGGGGCACCGGTCATCATGCCTAGCATCTTTCAGCCTATGGTGCCACAGGAACGCTCAAGACCTGCTACCCCATCCCAGCACATGCCCCATCTGGCTTCAGGACTGTGGAGGCCTCACCATATCACTGGTCTACGGCGATAAAACCTCTCTAGGTTGCTACTTTAGGTTTGAGGTAAGTGGTGGGGAAGAGGCAGGCAAAGGGTGCGGTCAGGAAGGAGAGGGGAAGCTCTGCCTTTGAAGGAGGCTCTGCCTGAGCAGACAGCACAGGCAGGTGGCTGGACAACAGGCAGGAGTGGCTCTCTGGGCAAAAGAGATGGCAAGATGCCCAAGTGAAGAGAATGCTTCTGGAGTCAGCAATGGCCTCCTTTGCAGCAGGTGGCCACAGAGTGAGGATGAAGGCCGGGTGAGGCAAGGTCTGTAGGGCTCAGGCCTGAGGAGCCCAGGAAGACTCTAGACACTGGTCATTTCAAATTCAAAACAACTCTGGAAGATGAGATTGGCCCTGTTTTCTACAGACACTGAGCTCTGGGCCCCGCTGGAAGCTAAGTGGAAAGAGGATTAGCAAGGAAAGCCAGGCATGCAGCCTCTTTATAGCTGGGAAAAGAGAGGGTTGAAGATCTCCGGAAGCATGAAGGTGAGGAGATGGGGGGTATTTTCTTCTCCCAAGCTTTGGCGGAAAGAGAGAGACCTGGAGCTGGAGGCCAAGGGGAGCTGTTGATAGTCATTATGATAAGAGGCAGGGTGCTAAGACATTTTTTATTTTTGAGACAGGGTTTAACTATGTAGCCCTGGCTGTCCTGGAACTTGCTATGTAGACCAGGCTAGCCTCAAACTTAGAAAGATTCACTTGCCTCTGCCTCCTGAGTACAGGGATTAAAGATGTGTGCTATCAAGCCCAGCTAAGACCTGTTCTCACTCTGGGAAAGGCTATAGATCCAACCCAGATTAAATGGGACTAAGTTCCCCAGCGGTGGTACATCATGAGTCTTACCCGGGGGCGAGTGACTCTGAACTCAGTTGGGAACAAGGCCACCCTTCTACTGCCCTGGAAAGACTTGGCAAGGACAGGAACAGGTGGAGGAGAAGGGTTACCGTGTGAAACCAACAGACTTCTGGCACCCCACCTACAACTAAGCACATCTTCTTCCTGGCTAAAGTAGCCAGTCACACTCAAGATCCACACCATCCTCGTTAGGTAGCATGCTAAGAGGAGGCCAGCTCTAATGGGTTTTCCCCCTCTTCTCTCCCCTCTCCCAACCCTGTCTTTTTCTTTAACATTTTTTTTTGTTTTTATGTGTATGAATGTTTTGCCTGCATGTATGTATGTATGTATGTATGTATGTATGTATGTATGTATGTGTATCTATATGTGCCTGGTGCCCGCAGAAGCCAGAAGAGGGCAACTGATCCCCTAGAACCTGAGTTATGAATGGTTGCTAGTTACCAGGTGGGTGCTGGGAACTGAACCCAGATCCTCTGCAAAAGCAACAAGTGCTCTTAACTGTTGAGCCACCTCTCCAGCCAGCTAGCCAGCCTGCATGCCTTCCTTTCTCTTTGGCAAGTTCTTCCTGTGTAGCTCTTGCTGGCCTTGAACTCGGGATCCTCATGAGTGCTGAAATCAGAAGTGTGTGCTGCCACTCCCAGCTCTGAGAATGTTTCTTGATTGCTCTGATCCAATTCTGACAGTCTAATTCCTTTGGCTTGTGATTGGCTTAGTGTAGGCAGGCAACGCAGGCCCAACCGATGAATACCGGAGGCAAGTCTAGAGAGCTCCTGGGAAAAGTTTCCTGGACTTTTAAAGACACCCTAAGGGTCATTCATCTCTCTGTGCTTCCTTCCTGAGGACCAACCACCTCATGCTCCTGCCACCAGGCCAGCCCACTGTGTTGGGCTGTACCCTCAAACCATGAACCAAAGTGAGCTGGGGTGCTCACCACCAGCCTGGGGATATCACAGAAGAATCACAGAGAAATAGCTGCAGAGGCCAGGTACCCCAAGACTGGGGCATACAGAGGTTGCCATTGAAAACCCCAGTACATGAAACATTAATTGACAGATTCTCCTCCACTCTGATCCTTGGATCAGCAAAAAACTAAGCAGGGCCTGGCAGCACATGCCTGGAATCCTAGTTTCTCAGGAGGCCAAGGCTGGAGGAGCCCAAGTTCAAGACCAGCCTGGGGAACTCCATAAGATTCTGTCTCAAAATAGAAATAAAATTAGAGCTGGGGATATATATAACTCAGTGGTGGGGTACTGGCCTAGCATGTATGAGGCCCCAAGTGCAATTCCCTGGTACCACAGGAGGGAAGGAGAGAGGGAGGGAGGCAGACAAAGAGGGAGGGAGGGAGGGAGGGAGGGAGGGAGGGAAAGAGGAAATACATTTCTTGTTCAAATGATTTCTGCTTAGACACCAGGTGCATTTCAAGGAGGCATGGCCATAGACAATGGATGTCTGTTAGGTATTGGGGGGAAACTGGCACAAAGCAGTTCCTTTTCTGTCGGAAGTGGAGATGAAAGGGACTGAACAGACACAGTGGGAATAAGCGTTGGCGAATGAAAAGATGTAGGGTACCAAAGCTATCACCACAAAGAACCCACGTGCTTGATGAAAATGATGACACTTCCAGCCCACAGAGGAGCAGGCAGGAAGGGATATGGGAAAAGCCGATTCCTCTGTGAGGTACCATGAGGAATCCGGTGGTAGACTGAGGCAGAGCTGCACTGTCCATTAGGTAGCTACTAGATACGCCAGCCTTAGTGCGTTTTCAGATTGGCCTGCACTGTAACACACAGCACATTCCCTTGACTTAGCAAGGAAGAGTAACAAGGTTGTGGGGGACAACAGGACTGAGGGATGGTGGGATGCAGGACCCATCTGTGGGTCCTTGGTCCTCTCTCACTGATTGCCCAGCCCGTGGACACAGAGCATCCCTAGGCCTCCTGGTAGTTGGATGCTGGTCATGGTTACCCTTGACAACTGTCTGCTTCCTGTTGTTCTTAGGGTAATCCCCATGAAGTCACTCTTCCGTGCCACTTACCGACTTGTCCCGAGAGACCTTCTTGAAGATGACGTGGGACTTATTGGTCTTCACACAGGCTGCCATGTTGTCCGTCCCTTGGGAACTCTCTCAGGTTGGAGGGCTGGGAAAGCACAATCCCAAACAAAATTAAGGACACTCTGGACGTAAAAGCCCACTCCTGAGTCTTCTTCCCTTGGACATTCCCCCCATGGATGCTTCAGCATCCATGCTTGATCAAATCAGCTGATTGGTTGTACTTCACTGTAGGGTACGCTTAAAAAAATATTTCATTTATTTGTATGTGTGCCACATGTGTACAGATGCCTGTGGAGGCCAGAAGAGGGTGTTAGGTCCCTCAAAGCTAGAGTTGTAACCTCCTGACCTGGGTGCTGGGAACCAAACTCACGTCTTCGGGAGGAGCAGCAAGTACTTGTAACTTCTGAGTCATTTCTCCAGCACCAGACCCCACTCTTGAAATGGGGTCTCACTACATAGCCCTGGCTGGCTTGAAACTCACTCTGTAGCCCAGGCTGGCCTCAAACTCATAGAGATCCACCTGCCTCTGCCTCCAGAGTGCTTGGATTAAAGGCCTGCGCCAGCACACCTGGCCCGGTGTATATTTTGGTATGTTCTGTTTTTCTTGGTAAGCTTCAAACACGTCAGTAAACTTCACCAACTAGATCCTAATGAAGTTTTGCTTTTTCTGATTAAATGTTGGTGTCACGTACTTGTCAGGTTACGTCTACAACGCTGTCACTCCAGGTGTGGTGACTCCTACCTGTTATCTCGGCACTCAAGAGACAGAGCTAGGTTGTAGGGAGTTTGAGGCCAGCCTGGTCTACATAGGGAGTTCCAGGGCAGCCAGGGCTACATAGTAAGACTGTATCAAACAAACAAAACCAAACAATGTTATCATAATTAGATCCTTTCTTCTTCTTCCTCCTACTCCTCTTGTTTCATTATGTGGCCCAGGCTGGCTTCAAACTGGCAATCCTCCTGCCTACTGCCATGATTAGAGGTGTGTACCACCATACCTGGCTTCTTTGTGCCTTGCGGTAAGCATACAGAAATTGTTTCTGAAACACACCAGAACAGAACTGCTCCCCAAATGCAGCTGTCAGGAGCATAGGAGAACCCCAGAGTTCCATCAAGACGGCCTTTCCCTCACCCAACGGATCTGTTCCCTCTCCTCAGTCTGACAGATAGTCGGACCATCTCACGATCTAGGATTAAAGACCCTCCAAGTTTCTTTCCCAGGCAAAGTCCTGTGGTATCAAACCCCAGCATTTCACCTTGCAGAAGCATGCCTGTCCTTGTTGGCCTGTGTCCACCCTGGTGTCTGAGAATGCTTGGGTTCGTCTCTCACTTACCTTGTGACTTGTCACCAACCAGCTGGGATGACCAAGGAGGTCAGGAAAGGGTCCCTGTGTTTTCAGGTGGTGAACAGCCAGCTCCTGTTCTGAGGCAACTGGTGAAGTCCACCAGATGACCCCACAGGGCAAGAGTGAGGCCCCTAGCCGCCACGTGGGGGAATTTGTAGGGATCTGTAGGGATGCCCAGCACTGAGGTCTCAGTGTCTAAAAGCCAAAGCAGATTTGAAGAGCAGGGAGGAGATTGGATTAGTGAGATGGCAGATTGGCCCTTTCAGCAGTTCTAAGCATTAGCTGGGAGCTTCAGTCTTCTCAGAGGATCCCAAAGATGCACGAGCTATCCAGCTGGCCTGGGGAAGGTGCAGTGGGAGGAACAGCTAATTAAAAGCTCTCTCTTTTTTCTTAATCCTAAACCTCTTTGGGTTCTGGAAATAGATAGCTTATCCCTTCGCTCCTCAGCATCATCAGGAAGGGAATGTTCAAGTGACAGACCTGATTAGGCTCAGCAGGCATTAAGGTATTATATAAAGGAAAAGGTCAAGGAGAAATGTCAAGCGAGGGCTGAGCTGCAGGCGTCCCTCTTCTTCACTCAACACCGAGAGTCCCATTGGGCTCTCTATCTTCCTATATCTTTACATGTCCAGTATGGGTCCATGCACCACCTGGGCTTCCCTGGGCAGTTATGAGTCTACATCTGATGGGCATCCATCTCTACTTTCTAGGCCCTTCTCCACACCCAGCCCAGCCCTTCTTAGCCCTGACCCATCAATTCCCCTGCTGGGGAGGTCCTGTCACTCTTGCATGTAGACATGGGTCCTTCCAAGTTTGACCAGATGTCATTTCCTCAAGGAAGTCCTTCCAGCCACCAGGACCAGACCAGTTGCCATTCACCTTTACTAGTGACTTTTTTTTTAAATTTATTTTTTGGTTTTTCAAGACAGGGTTTCTCTGTGTAGCTTTGCACCTTTCCTGGATCTCACTCTGTAGACCAGGCCCGGCCTCAGACTCACAGAGATCCTCCTGGCTCTGCCTCCCGAGTGCTGGGATTAAAGGCTGCGCCACCCCCACCCCCAGAGTGTGACTCTTCTTTATTAAGTCTCTGGACCTGTAAGGCAGAGCGCCCATGACATTGTGCTTCCCTCACTTTGAGGGGAGTAATCCATACTCCTCAAAACCCTCAGGGAGTGGAAGTCTGGAATGCTATGGCCACTAACTCACCTATATAGTGGTATTCACTCTAGAAATAAAACAGTAGCAACAGAAGACTTCTTGTGATACCTAGGGTGTCACTCTCTGTGCCCCAACCTGGTGGCTTTCAGTCCCTCCTGGATAATACCTGCCAGGTCCTGGCCTTATTTCTCAGCACCCTGCCCACCAGCCACTGTCCGCTCTGCTGCCCTCCCTTGATTTCTGTAAACCCACTTTTCCCTTCCTGCTTGTTGCTCCTGCTCCTCCTGCTCCTGCTCCTCAGTCCTCAACTCACACAACCAAAGGAGTACTTGGGACTCCAAACACTCAGCAAGTGAAGACCCTGGACCGCAGTAGTAACAGCTCATGATTTAGTGAAGTAGTTGCCATGGTGATGGATTTGCTAGTATTTTCACACGTCCGTCACTGCCCAAGCTTTTAATTCCCAAGGGAAAAACCCGACTTCATTTGTATTATTTACTTGGAGATCAGGTCATGCTTACATACCTGGGGGCTGGAATTACAGATGGTTGTGAACCTCCATGTGGGTGCTGGGAACTGAACACAGGTCCTTTCTAAGAGCAGTGAGTGCTCCTAACCACTAAGCCATGTCTCAAACCCCAACATTGTCTTTTAAAAAAATTTTTTTTTATGTATATGTGTGTGCTATAGTGCATGTCTGTGTATCACATGTATGTAGTATTTGCAGAGACCAGGAAAGGGTACAGGATCCCTTAGAAGCAGAGTTACAGTCGTGAGCCTCCACATGAATGTTGGGACTCAAACCCAGATCCTCTGCAAGAGCAGTCAGTGTTCCTGACCACCGAGCTCTCTCTTTAGTCCTGACGTTTTGTTGCTGTTTTTTAAACAGAAATGCCAGCTAACAAATGTAAAAGGATGATGAAACATTACCCAGCAAAACGCAGTTGCATTAATCCTCGCCTTTCAGGGTTGTTTCGTTTGTTTGTTTGCTTTCTGGCCTGGAACTCATGGCAATCCTCCTGCACTAGCCTCCCAAGTGCTGGGATTCTGACTAGTTTCTGTAGCTGGAACACTAAAGGCCCTAGAGAGATTGCTCTTCTCCCACAGACAGTAAAAATCCGGGCTTCCTAGTGCTCCTAACCTAGACCCATACTCCCAATCTGCTGCCTTTGGTTTCGTTTTTCTGACACAGGGTCTCGCATCTAACTTGGGCTGTCCTTGAACTCATGATCTTCCTGCCTCACCTTCTGGAGTGCTAGTAGTACAGTCCTACACTTTCATATTTTCCTCAGACCCTAGCCCTTTTATCAAGTATGTTATACTCCAGGCCCCAGTCTGCCTAATCCCAGCTAGACACATCCCCTGCTCTTCAGATCCTGCATGGCCTGTCTTTCTCTCATTTCCATGGAAACAGCAAGATTATTGCCATGGTTTCCTCTTACTCCCTGGTCAACCCTAGCATTTCTCAGTGTGGTTCTGGGTGGCATGGCATGCCCCCTCCCCTGGGGAACTATGAGTGACAAATTTCATCATGGTAAAGTTATTTCCTGATCTTCTGGCTCACCATACCTGAATGACAGTAAAACTTCCATCTTGAAACTTTAGGACTAGTCATTGGCCTTTAAGCCACTAAGTAGCAAGGCGATGTAGGGATGAGGTCCCTCTAGGACAAGGTGATGTAGGGATGAGGTCCCTCTAGGACAAGGCAATGTAGGGATGAGGTTCTTCTAGGACAAGGTGATGTAGGGATGAGGTCCCTCTAGGACAAGGTGATGTAGGGATGAGGTCCCTCTAGGACAAGGTGATGTAGGGATGAGGTCCCTCTAGGACAAGGTGATGTAGGGATGAGTTCCCTCTAGGACAAAGTGATGCATATGGATCTCTGTCCCAACTGCATGGGAGGTATCCCTTTGGATTAGCTTGAATTCATGAAGTCTTTAGAGCCTACTTCTGGCCAAAAAGGAGGATGTGTTAAATTATAACAAAGTTAAGGACTCAACACTCATGTGTGTGATCCCAGACTGGATAGTCAGCTGGATAAGTGGGGTGCACAGAACATTCTGGATGAACTGGGGAAATGTGAATGTGGTTGGGACAGTGCCAGAACAGAGGCTGGCAGATGCTCAGTGGGTAGAGTTGCTTGTTATGCAAACCTGATGATAACCTGAGTTTAATCCCTGGATCCCATGTGGGGGGGGAGAATCTGCCCCCAAATCTGTGCTCTGATCTCCACACGAGTGCTTTGGCACATGGGGGGATAGGCAGAGACCCTTATCAAAAACCCAAAAGGGGGGGGGCTGGAAAGATGGCTCAGCAGTTAAGAGCACTGGCTGCTCTTGCAGACGACTTGGGTTCAGTTCCAAGCACCCACATTGTGGTTCACAGTCCCCCTGTAACTCATTTCAGGGGACCTGACACTTTCTTCTCATCTCCACCAGCACCAGGCATGGACATGGTACATATGTACACATATATGCACACAAAACATTCTGACACATTAAAAAAAAAAAAAGAAAAAAACAACAAAATAAAGATGAGCATTAA